AACCACACCCACCTCCACACAGTCCAAAAGGGGGAACAGCATTTGTTTGCAGTCAGCGATTCAGATGGAGGGCAGGAAGTGAAAAGCAGACTCGATGAACTGGGGAAGATTTGTGCTGTGCTTGTTATATTAAAGCGAAAGATACAAAAAGAAAATCACAATATAATGTTGATTCTTGTCTTCTGAAGAGGAGCCATTTTTCTCCTGATTTGAAAGACTTGCCCTTTCCGACGGGAACTGAAGTCGTTATGGGGCTCCCAAATCCACCAGACTCCTTTATGGATATAACGGCTTCAGGAAGTCTGACGAAAATGTAAAGTGGTGAATATAGCGTGCACTTAAACCAATACCAATAAAATAGGCTGCTGCATCGTCAGCGGCTTGTGAGTCAGTACTCACAAGCCTTTTTTTCCTGCAGGAACGTAACAAGTGTGTGATTTGTGTTACACTTTACAGACGTTGGCATGTGGTCAGTAAGAAGCATCCAACTTGTTTATGGCCTGATAGATACTACAGTATAAATACTTATTATTTTACATTTTAAATCAAAAAAGAAAACAAAGGTTATGTCATTCTTTAAAAATATATAAATGTTCAGATACAGGATTCAGTGATAATTAGATTTAATGAACATGTGAATAAATAACAGTATAAAGGTATATAAGGTAAATGACACTCCCATCAGATCTCTGTCATGGTCATGTTGGGTCATTATCTTGTGTGACATGTTGGTTTGTTGGTCCAAACCACTCGATGTGGGCGCTCCGACATCGATCTGTTGGCGTGACAACCGTCAGCAGGGTGTAAAGATTTTCTGCGCTGCCGGTGTCAAACAGTATCAGAGCAATAATCAATCACAGCCTGAAGAAAAAACAACTGTACATACTGTTTGACTCCTGCCACAAACACCATCCTGCTGCCCCGAATACTCACCGGAGCACCAAATGTGGATTAATCCGCAGTTGGAAGTAGACCCATATAGAAACTATATATTTGTGAGGTGTTTTTGCTTTTGCTTTGAACATTAAGGGTTAATATCAGGAGGTTTTAGGGGTCGTATGCTGATTGATGGTGGCTCAAAAGGATATTTTGTGTGTACAACCCTTATGTTGGTGTTAATGAATGTAAATGTGAGTGTGTGTCTGTGTGCAGCCGTCACTGTCAGACTCAGAGGACCTGGAGGAGATGGAGAGGCTGAGGAAGGAGCACATCGAGGCTCTGAGGGAGATCAAGAGGCTACAGGTAAAACAATCAATCGATCGATCAATATCAGCTTTTACAGTCACCTCATGTCGCTGAATGTGTGTGTACTTCCTGTTGACTTCCTGTTGACTCTGCCATTCAGGAGCAGCTGGTCGAGTCTCAGAGAGTTCACCATCAGATGGAGGAGGAGCTCAGCAAAGTCAAACAGGTGAGTCACACCTGCTGCAGGTGCAGTCAATCTTAATCAATCTGCTCCAGTTATTGTGTTACTGTTAATCATGTGGTCACATCAACAACAGTGACAGAAAATTAAAACTGTATTTAAGTACAATTTTAAGGTACGTCTACCTGATTTGAATATTTTTACTTGATTTACACTAAACAGCTAAAAAATCTACATCAGTCGTTAGCTGCTCAATGTCTGAAATCAGCCTGGTCTCTGTATATTAATAAAGTATTTCTATATGATGAATTACTGTGATAAAAGGCCTCTTTGAACTTTATGGGGATGAAATGAGAACAGAACAGATGCATTCTGGTCCTAGAAGCACTGAACTCCCTCAGATGAGAATGGATCTCTTTCATAGAAAGAGGGGTAAACTGGAGGATTCTGACGGTCTCTGAACACCCTCGCCCTCTGCAGTGAGTCTCTCGCAACCCCTCAGCGTTTTCCTAATGAGCCGGCCTTAACCCGTAACCACAAAGGTAACCCGCTCGCAGCAGCTCAGACATGGAGAGTAAATCACCATGACGGTTTACACCTGACGTCACCTGGATGACACTGACGCTCTGGATCTCAGGAGGAACAAACCTGCTCCGAAACAACATTTTACAACAACAATATTCATCAAGTGTAATCTGTGCTGAGAGTTTGTTGAGTTTCTATACCGGGACGGTGTGTGTGGGCTGTTGAAGGGGTGCTTCTTTTAAAATTCATCAGCAGGTGAAGTTTGACACACACTTGCAGTTATCTGTGTGTGTGTGTGTGTGTGTGTGTGTGGGAGGCTGAGGCGGACTCACACAGCTTACAGCGGGAGGAGTGTGAGGCCACCATTGAGGCTTTTTTTCGGGCTCTAAAATAGCTCCTCCTTGTGTTTGTTTGTTGTGATTCATAGCTGGAGGGTCTCGGCCTCTCTGACTCCCACTCTCCTGCCTCAACTTTCATCCTGTTGCATAAACCGATCGATATCTACATTTAGACGCGGCGAACATAAGTACAGCAACAATAAAAGCCAGGGCCATTTCCTATCTGTTTACTTCATGTTCAGGCTTTTATTTTGCTGTCAGGCACCTGTTTTATATCCTGCAAGTTGCAGCCATGAAAAGAAAGAACGTGGTCAAAGTTAATTAAATAGAAGGTGTGTGACAGGACGACGACGTGTTCAAGGTGATGGCACCCGTTTTAGACGACGCTTATGATTCTACCAGAAACATCCTCAGCACTAGTCTTGACTAGTGCTAGAGTATTAACCACTAAATGTAGAAGTTTACTTCAAAACATATTTTATTCACAGCTTTTATACGCAGTGAAGAGACGATGCTGCTGATCATGATATACAGCCGAGTCAGAATAGATATAAACAGGAAAACCCTGTAAACGTACAGATTTCTTTTACACTGTATAGAGACCAAAGATTGGAAATCTCACACACTGTCAGTGACTTCATTCCATATAAATAAAGTGAGTGACCAACAGTGAGTTTTTGATCATTAAAACTTTGAGTTTTACAAAAGAAAAGTCTTCAGAATCACTCAGAATTAAGTAGCTGAGGCTCCTGAATAACCATAGTAAGTGAATTTAATACTCTTTCCTCTGAGGGTGGCGTTTTGGCAGTGCTGTTCCAGCTTTCAGTGCAATCAGCAGCTCAGAGACTGAGATATGACTTTGGTATTATGTAACAGTCAAACAAAGCCAGAAACTGCAGTGAATGCCAACCTCAGGCTGTCGGGTTCGTGATGGAAACTGGACCAGCCACTGCTCTTTTGTCCTACCTCTCGCTGCCAGGTTGTGCAGCTTGTGCACAGCCGGGGAGTTTTTCTTCCATTATGTTGCCTGTTCTGGGGAGCTGGAGGGTGAGCGGCAGAGGGGAGGCAGAGGGGAGGCAGTTGACATGCTCCCTCATTAGAGCTGGAGGTCAGACTTGGGCCCCCCTCTAGACCCCGAGGCCACAGCTGGAGGGAAGACAGCTCATGCTGGGATCCATTAGTTACCCAACCAGTCGAGCCCGGCCACCGAACACAAACACACACACACACACACACACACACTCCAGCTGCACTTCAAATCATCTATAAAGACAAATTTTAACACCGACTGTGACCCCATTCACTGTGATGATGTTCACACACCTGACCTGATGCTGACAGTGACATCAACGTACTGTACCATTACTAACTAACAGTGCATCATACAAGACAGGCAGCAATCAAACAAAGATAGAAAGAGAGAAAGTGGTAGAAAGTGAACCAAAGAGCAGTCGCGTTCTGTATAAATTTAGACAATGATTGCCACATAACGCTGACTTCCTGTTTCCAGTAGGTGGCGCTGTGAGTATGACTGAAAATTGGCATCTAGACGTGTTCAGGACTCTTATCAGACATAAGTTGGTTGAGATTGGACAAAGTACACTGAAGTTACGACAACTTCCTGTTTCATGGCGATACGTCACAAATAGCACAACTTTTAATGTTCTTTAGATTGAACTGACCAAATATAAAGTCCATATGATCAGTTCCCTAGGAGGAGTTCGTTAAAGTACGACATCTGGGAATGGCAAAAAAAGGTGCCAAAATTTGACATTAATTTCAAAATGGCTGACTTCCTGTTGGGTTTGGAGCATGGGTCCGAGAGGCTTTTTTGTACCTCTGTTCATGATACATGTGTGGACTGGTTTTTGTAAATGTGTCCAATTTTGCCATACCCTTTTCGCAATACCAATATCACAAGTAAAATTGAGTCAGTTGAAGAAGATTGAGAAGTTTTATTGGAGCATGTTTGTATTGCAGCTCTTATTGTGGGATAATCATCTTTTTTTAAAGTCTCCAGAAGTGTCCAGTTCTGACCGCTCTGGGCTTCCATAGATAATCTCCCTCTATCTGTGTTTTTGCTCTATTTGTCTTTTTCTTGGAACAGTGATAGTCAGAAAAGTGAAGGTAACAGATGGACTGCTCTCACTGTGTGTGTGTGTGTGTGTGTGCGTGTCCACAGCGTGTCATTTCCGTGTGTTGTTCAGAAATAAACACATCTTGTGTGTTCTTCATGTGTGTCCTGTTAGCTCTCAGTACATATGACAGCACCGCAGGAGGAGAGACGAGGCTGCCAAGATCACTCCTGTCTGAGTGTGTGTGTGTGTGTGTGTGTCTGAGTGTGTGTGTGTGTGGATATACAATAATAGAAAACACTTGGGGGGGTTCACAACTCTGCCAGAGCTGCACAATCCCCTAAATTTGCTGTTTTAATAAGAGATTTAGAAACTAGGCCTCATGCAGCAACAATTCATTAAAGCTGTCGACGGTACCGAACATTAAACAGCAGCAAACATTCAGGCATTGTTTAATTTTATTTCATAAATTGAACTAAAATAAAAACCTCATGTATAAAAGTTTGATCAGCCTCAGACCTTCATCAGCTGGTTGGGTCTGATCAATAGTTGTCAATAGTCCAAAGTCAGAACATCTACAGAACATCTACAGAACACTGATTGGAAACAAGAGCTGTGGACTGAAGAAGTTAAAATAAAACTCTCCGGGTGTTTGGAGAAAAAAGGAGCTGCATCTCATATAAAGAGCTCCTCCCCAACTGTTAAACATGGTGGATCCATCAGGCTTTGGGGTCGTGTTGCAGCCAGAGGCACAGGAAACACTGCACGGGTGGAGGGAAGAGTCGATTCAATACAACAAATTCTGGATAATGATCCTAATTGTACTTCGAAATCCACCACGGACGACCTCCAGAGACCAGTGGCGGAACTAGACTTTTATACAAGGGGTGGCCAGAGGGGGGCCATGGCTTTATGAGGGGGTCCGTATATTAGGCCTAATAAAGGAAAATCCTGAACTACCGCAGGTTGGATTCGAACCCGAGGCCACTGCATGACCTCCATAGATGGGTCGCTAGCTCTACCGACTGAGCTAGCCTGACACTGATATTAATTGAACTCAGGAAAAAGAGGACGGTCGGAAAGTGGCCTGAGGAAACGGACATAAGTTTCATTTTCGGTTTCTGGCGCAGCAATTAAACCTTAAGCAATCAGTCCTTAAAGGTTTTGTTGTTTTTTTAATACTTTTTGCACTGAGGAACAGTTCTGCTGATGTACAAGACAGCTTCTGCCCTACACATATTTTCTCAACCGCTATTAAAAAGTCCGTCTTTTTGGCCTTATGTAACC